AAAGTTTTTTAAAAATCCGACTGGCGTGGCTCAGTGGTTAAGTGTCGACCTATGAACCAGGAGGTCATGGTTCGATTCCCGGTCAAGGGCACATGCCTGGGTTGCGGGCTTGATCCCTAGCATGGGGCGTGCAGGAGGCAGCCAATCAATGATTCTCTCTCATCATTGATGTTTCTATCTCTCGCTCCCTCTCCTTTCCTCTCTGAAATCAATAAAAAAATAACAATCATATTTTCACTATAGTAACATTAAATGTACTTGAAAATAGCATTTCACTTAGGAGTCTTCGAGCACAACTATGACTATGCTGGGCTTCCAGAGGCCAGGCTGCAGCGGCTGAGGGTCTTTAGAAAGTTCTTGAAAAGTCTTCTAGATTTCCTACTACACTTTCCCTTTTTGCATTATCTGCTGCTGGTCCAAATCCTGTACTGCTTGGACTCAGTTTTGGGGCAGTAGTCTGTGCTTACATATGATATTTTCTTTCCTTCCTCAGTGGGGCCCAGCTTCAATTCTCTGCCCCCACAGTAGCTGATCTTCCAAACTATTTGTGGCTTTGGCCTTCTCAATTCATAGGGACCTGCCTTGCGCATCAAACGAGTAGAGCAGTTGTCCAGTCAGGGAAGCTGGGGGCTGAAGGCGGTTTCAGAGGGAAGGAGCCCATCAAGCACTATGGTGTTTGGGACCCCAAAAAGCTAGTGACAAACAGACACATGATTCTCCATTTCCACTGACTTCAAACTTGTCTTGCTTGCTAGAGCTAAAATTCTGTTATTGGAAAGTACATTTCTTAAGTCAAGTTAAAAAAAAAAAAAAAGAGAGAGAGAAAACCCTGGGACCCTGAAGACCAAGTACAGAAAAGTAGAAGGTTCTCAGGTAAGAAAATTATATAGGCCCTGGCCAGGTAGCTCAGTTGTTTAGAGCATCATCCCAATATGCCAAGGTTGTGGGTTCGATCCCTCGCCAGGGCACATACAACAATCAATCAATGAATGCATAAATAAGGGAAACAACAAACCAGTATTTCTCTCCCTTCTCTCTCACTCTCTCTAAAAATCAATACATTTTTTAAAGTTTTTTAAAAATCCGACTGGCGTGGCTCAGTGGTTAAGTGTCGACCTATGAACCAGGAGGTCATGGTTCGATTCCCGGTCAAGGGCACATGCCTGGGTTGCGGGCTTGATCCCTAGCATGGGGCGTGCAGGAGGCAGCCAATCAATGATTCTCTCTCATCATTGATGTTTCTATCTCTCGCTCCCTCTCCTTTCCTCTCTGAAATCAATAAAAAACTAAAAACCATATATTCACTATAGTAATGTTAAATGTACTTGAAAACAGCATTTTCACCTAGGAGTCTTCGAGAACAACTAGTTGTCCAGTCAGGGAAGCTGGGGGCTGAAGGCGGTTTCAGAGGGAAGGAGCCCATCAAGCACTATGGTGTTTGGGACCCCAAAAAGCTAGTGACAAACAGACACATGATTCTCCATTTCCACTGACTTCAAACTTGTCTTGCTTGCTAGAGCTAAAATTCTGTTATTGGAAAGTATATTTCTTAAGTCAAGTTAAAAAAGAGAGAGAGAGAGAGAGAGAGAGAGAGAGAGAGAGAGAGAACCCTGCAACCCTGAAGACCAAGTACAAGGTGAGACAAAAGTAGGTTTACAGTTATGAGAACATGAAGCAGAGCTTATTCTTGTATTACTATTTATGAAGGATTGTATTATTTCCTGTATGAACAACTATAAACCTACTTTTGCCCCACCCTGTACTCCATTTTTTT